GGTAAAGGATCAATTTAAACAATATTTACTGATGAATATATTAAAAAGCGGTCTGTGCTTCATTTCCTAGTTGTAATTCAGTGACAGAGCAGAGCGTGCGGAATTTTTTGGGGGGAACTAAGCTTGCTGTGAACGGAGCCCTTTCTCTGAAAATTGTTCTGTATCGGAAGGGAATCGAACCACTCCCCTTCACGTTCGGACGTAATATGTTAGCACTACACCACCGGTCCCTGTCTTCAGGTTTAGTCTGGAAACATCTGCTGCGTATCTGCCTTACAAAGCAAGGTACACTTTTCCTTTTTTTTATGGCGGCTTATTGGCCAGCTTTTCGCGAGTTTTCACAATTGTGATTATAATTCTGCTTGCGTCTAACAAATATCTTAGCTTCTAATATCAAATAAATATTAACACAAACAAGACGAAAAACTAGGCATGTTAATGTACCAGTGAGTCATGTGTGGCAGTGTGAATGTATAGAGAGTGTCGGAACTAATACATGTGAAGAAGCTGATAGTGCTAACGCGCGAGCAAAATGTATTTCAATGCCAATACATAGGGATATCCTGCACTTCAAAAGCTGCTTACCTCACTTTAGCTGATAATGACATGACAGGAAAAAAATAGCCATCAATATTGAAATTTTTGAATAATCCTGAGGTTGGTTTACCGTTGACAGTGAAATGAATTTGCGGAATATTAAGATCCAATGAGCAACCAACGATGTCGCCCTTTTCCAGCTTCCGATCCCAAACAACTCGCTTTTTACCCGCTAAAAACAACGTCTCTGTGAATTTTTTTTCCCAACAGCAAAGAGCTCGGAATTTTAAAAAAAATTAATTAGCTGGTATAATTCATGCTTTCCAAAAATTACTACAGAAATGTCGCGAAGTGAAAGTGGTAAAGTAGTAGGTGTTACAAGTCTGGCAGCTCCAAGATTGCTGCGAAGACACTGTGCCCAAATTCATCCGGCTAAATTTGGCAGTATCACAAACCAATGTCAGTTTGACCAGTGAAAAGTACTTTAATAATTTGTATGTTCATTTCTGTTCAGCAAAACGGACAGGCATATAAATGTCTTGGTTTTGCATTTCAAACCAGCAATGTACAAAAACAGAGAAAAACAAACCGCAGTAGATGCACCGACCATCGAAGCCATACGAATAGAAATCTTCACCGACACCATTACAGCCCCATCTAAATGTAACATTTATTCAAATAACTGTTAGGTTTTCGTACTCTGATCAGCTGCTATTTCATAGCCCTGTTTGACACGATAACAGGTTTTTATGCCTTTTTTGCAGCTTTGCAATGCGGAAAACGCACATTGACGAGAAGCTGTCTGTGTGAGTGTGTCTGTGTGTGGGCAGAGTCCCTCTACCGATTTTTCATCTCAAGACCGACAAAAGCTACATGGCTGAAACTTCCATGCACGTACAGGTTCCTATCTTCAAAATGGGCGGTCTCACCCGAGTGGTACT